TTTTTCCTGGTGATTTCGCAAGGGTAGTGCTGGACTCTGTTGACGGTCCTACGCACCAGAGGCTGTGATGTGTGTTGCGGGGAAGAGATGAGTGTTAGATGAACTGGATTGAGGCATGAGTTAGAGTGCTGCTGGGCAACGTTCATGAAGCAACGAAGTGTTTAAATAAAGGGTCTTCAAACAGGAGCACACATAAAACAAGGTTATGTATTGATCAGTTAATGAAAAGTTTGTGTCCAGAGGCTAGTGGGAACCTAACTCTGCATTTCCCGTAGGGGCAAAGGCTCGGTGTTTGCCAGAGCACGTTCCCGTTGACTTTATAGAACCTAACTGCCGTGAATGGTGAGAGTCTGCATCCAGGTGCACGCATGGGCCCCGCTGGATCTCCTAGGCTTGGGCCCTGGCATCTGTGTTTTCCAAAGCTCCACCGGTGATTCTGATGTAGGGCCCGAGTGGGAGCCACTGCAGACTTGCATGGCTGGGGAAATGGAGGTCCCAGATGCTTGAGAATCTACTGAGTCGGTAGCTATGAAAGATTTTGAAGCTGTGCAAAAAGAGCCTGACGAACACAGGGTGTTTTATATCAGTCCTTTCAGAAATGCCCTGGCAGGGTGCCTCCTCTGTGAGCCCGAACCCAGGGGATCTGTGGGCATCTCTGCAGTGAGCCTGCCCGTGGAAGAGGTATGCCCACTGACCTCCAAGGACAAGCTGGCCCTTCTTTCTCAGGGGAGAGCAGTAACTACCCACCTGCAAGGTTAGAAAAAACAGCTTTGGTCTTCCCTGGGCCCAGGACACAAAAGGCCTCCAGAGGCCCAGAAATGCTTTAGGCCTCCTCACACTAATCAGGGAACCCAGAGCATGTATCGTGGAAGGGGCAACTGCGGGGAGCACCACCGCTTCAGGGCCAGTGAGGCAACAAAGCAAAGCTTTGGAGTTACTAAAACTTAGAAATGGGAGCATCCTGAACAGGATGGGACATTTGAAGTGAGGGCACCTGCCGGCTGGTGCTGACGTCTCTGGAGTGAGTGGGGGCCTCGAAGTTGGTTCTATAAATGTTGGAAAACTGCAAAGTGAGTTTAGCTGCCGCTGCGGGGACGGAGAAGTGCTACAGGACCACTGGCAGGAGGGAGGTTCACAGGAGCTCTCTCTCCTCTCGCACTTTCCAGTCCTCTTCTAGCACCTCCTGCTGGCAGAGTCTAACAGAGCAGCTGGCAAAGCCAAAAGTGGTTGCCCAGTGCCAGCCCAGCACCACAGACAGGAGATGAGAAGGAAGACCTGTGCACCCATGGGCTGGAACTGGAGCCTGCTCTTGTGCACATGTGCACACACACACATAAAGATATACTCACACAGATATACACACAGGTACACACACACACACACACACAAATACACAGATACACAGATATACACACAAGTACACACACAGACACACAGAGACACACAGAGATACACAGAGATATACACACACACCAGGACCACAGACAGACTGGATTGTGAGTCCTGCCCCTTAGGTGTTAGAGCTAAGTGAGCAAACCTCGTGGCCCTGACTGGTGGCACTTCACTGAGTCTGAACCACCAACCCTTGGGCCCCACAACCACCCCACCCCCAAACAGCTCCTGGTTTGAGATTCTTCTGTGCAAAGGAAGCTCAAAATTCTCAATCTCTGAGGGCCATCTGGGCATTTGCGGGCATGCACATGGACCATACACAGTGCTGGCCCCCCTGTCCTGGAGGAGAGTCTCAGAGCTCAGAGAAGAGCAAGCTCTGCACTAAAGCGCTGGGCATGCAGGAAACACAGTAGAACTCCTTTACCAATAGAGGCTCACGCCAACAAACGTTCTTCCGGGCTCCATTCAAATGTCACTGCCTCAGAGAGATCCTCCCAGCTCACTCACCCAGTTAGGTCCCTTGATCACCCTACTGTTCTCCATCACTGTGCATTGTCATTTCCCTCAGAGCGCATGTCATGTGTGCAGTTCTGTTTTCTCTTGGTTGGTTTATTGCCTGTCTCCTCCCGTAGAGAGCAAACTCACAAGAGCAGGGCCAAGCCTGCTCCTTCACCTCGACAGACTCAGGACCTGCCCAGGGCCTGGCGCATAGTAGTCCCTATAAGGGTTTGTCAAATAATCAACTTAAAAATATAAAACGGTTCTAGACAAGTTGTGATAAGCGATGGACGATGGATCTCTGAATTAGTGGTGGATGTGGCATAACAAACTGAGAAGAATGTTGTGGAAGGCAGCTCCTCTCCTCTCCTACAGAGGAGAGCATCGCAGGCGGGAGAACTATCTCCCCTCCGTGACCCTTCTGCTGTGCTATGGTCCTGGAACCATGGGGATTAGGACCTAACCCAGGCTAATCCCTCATCACGACTTTGCTTCCTGACCCTGTGAAGTCATTGGGTCCATGGAATGTTAGAGTTGGTGGGACCCCATGGGTTCCATCACGACCACCTGGGGGAACATTTAAAGACACCAGTTTGTGGACCCTACCACTAGTTCCTGATTCTTTTAGGTCTGTAGTTCAGTGTAACATAGTGGGTGTCCAGGAACTCAAGCTTAAGCCCTGACTGCCACACACTGTGTGAATCTGGAAAAGTTACTTAACCTCTCTGTACCTTGATCTCTCCACCCGTAAAATGGAAATAGCAGCCCAACCTCAGAGGTTTGTGGTGAAGATCTAAGTCAACAATGTGCCTAAACCTCTTGGTGCAATGCCAGACTCAGAGGAAATACTGAATAAAGGTAGCTATTCTTGTAATTATTACCTCACCACTAGTTAGCGGCTGACGTGGGGCAGGTATCCAAGCCTCCTGATCCTGGATCCAGTGTTCTTTCCAACACGTCACTCTGAATGTGCACACAGCCTTCCCTCTGAGGCCAGACTCAGTCCTTGGCAAAGAGAGTATGTGGCCGCTGCCCTGGGACTCTTTCATCAAGCCCAGTGGAGAGGAGCCCTGCACCTGAGACCCAAGAGCAGCTCTGAGCTCTGGAGCACAGATAGCTCGGAGAACAGGGGAGTTCAGCAGTGCAGTTTTCGGGTCCTTTGGGAAGCCCTCTGGCTGCTACTACTAGTATTTCATTAAGGAACTACTGGGAACCAAAAATAGAACTTCTTAGGGGAACTTAATCCTCTGGGCTTTACAAAATAGCCTCTGGAGAATTCCATGCATCAACCACCAGAGGGCACTGTCGTCCCATGAAAGTGGTCGCTGATGGGCCAGAAGTGTTCAGTAGTTTCCATGAAAATCCCAGCAGCCTTCAGCAACCTCATGCCCCAGCCTTATCCTGCTCAGAACTCTGTGGCCGGTCCCCACAGATCACCAGCTCCTGGTCCTAGGGAAACCTCTTGCAACTCAGCCCACTGCCTCCCTCTGGGGCCCAGCACCTTGAACCCCATCGCACATCCCTAGTCCAAAAGAGTCTCTTTCAAGAGAGGTTCAGGATTTGAGAGTCTCTGCCACCAGCCCAGCATGCTGCGTTCTAATTCCTGCCCTGGGGTGGGCCTCCTCTAGCAGACTCCATCTTCGAGTGTAATGAGGCAGAGTGGAAAGGACATAGGATGGAAGTAAGACTTGCATTGGATCCCAGCTCTAGGACCTATTAGTTGTGAGAGGCATGGTTTCCCTCTGTGGCAGCACTGATCCCACTGCTCTGTAATTACATTTTAACTTGTCCCTCTTTCCATCAGGCTGGTATGCATCTGCCCTGTTTGCAGCTGTCTCTCCACCACCTAGCACAATGCCCAGCACCTCCTGTGTTTGATAAAATGAACGAATGAACGAATGAATGGATTGGTGCCCCCATACCCAGGTCACCCCTCCGTTTGTTGGCCTCCTTCCACCCACACTCAGGGACGTGGGTCTGAATCCTGGGCCTCTTCCTGGGCATCACAACAGCTTCCACCCTCCTGCCAAGTCTCCATTTGTTTGGGGGCAAAATGTCCTAGTATGGAATACCTTGGCTACGTGAACAACTTTGGCCTGAATTCCAAGCCAGAGAATCCTGTCTGATAAGTTCCAGGCGCATTAGTCTTGGATGGCCATCAAGCTCTGAGCCTCCTCGGTGGGACCCGGGAATTCACCCTCAGATTCTCTAGTCTGGAAACCTTAAAGAGTAAAGCAGAGGTAAGACCCGGTCCTCAGAAAGTTCTCCCGAGGGGACTGGTAAGGCAAAAGGAGGTGTTTCTCCAAGTACCTCTGGGCCCATCTGCCACCTGGGAGCCCATTAAAAATGCAGATCACAGGCCATGTTCTAGAAATACCTGGGTCCCAGGCATCAGCATTCTGAACAGTCACCCTAGGAGAGTCTGCTGCTCAATGTACAAATTCTCTATTGGGGGTAGCTGCTATTTATTTTAATAAAAGACTAAGTTTTATGTCAAAGAAATTCATCTCTACTGTAAAATCTCCAGGACGAGTCTATGACGCAGGGATCCTCAACCTCAGCACAACTGACATTTTGGACCAGATAACTGTTTGTTATGGAGGGCTGTCCTGCGCACTGCAGGACGTTCAACAACATCCTGGACACTGGAGACCAGTAGTATTCTATAGCTGTGACAACCAAAGATTTAAAAATACCTCTAGACATTGGCAAATGTCCATTAAAGGGGAAAATCCTCCCTCAAAAGGGATTTCCTTATGAAATCTGACCTGAGCCCAGTGTGCTGGGTGTCCTTCACCACCCTTGGGATGACCTCCAGGCCAGGCTCTGCCCATACTGGACCCCGGCCCTCCTCACCACTTTCCAGGTACAAGTGGGGCTGAAGCCAGTTCGCACCATCACTGTCTCCTGGCTGTGGTGGCAAGCCAGGCCCTTTCATATCTCCCTCTCCCTTTCCCTTTCTCCTCGGGCTCTGCCGCAGCACTTGGGTGCCCCTTGTGCTCACCCCCCCACAGCAGGGGAGACAGACAGCAGGAAGAGGGACAGCACAGGGCTGCCACTTATAAGCGGTGCCGATGAGGCTCCAAGGAGAGGGCATATGGGAAGAATTCTCCTTTTGTGAAAATAAGTTTATTTTTGTGTTCATTCTAAAGCAAACATAGTCACAGTAGGAAATTTGGCAAGTACAGAAAAATATAAAGAATAAAAATCATTCGTTAATTCAGTTACCCAGAGGGTCAGTGTTGACCCCTACAAGGCTGTTACTACCACCCAGGCTGGTGTGCAGGCAGGATACCCAGGTGGATAGAACACTGGACCAAGGACAATAAAGGCATTCGGCGTTCCAGGTCAAACGTCTGCTTTATTCAGACCCGGGTGACCAGAGACCCAGGCAGCCTAGTTTATAGATTTTGGCCCCAAGTGTCTCCCTGCCTCTCCCTCCCAAGAGCCTGCTCCTACAGATAGAACATCAGAATTCATCCTTTATGTCAAAATGGGGCTGGTCTTCAGGCTTGAAGTCCAGGTTGGGGCTGCCATCCTCATTGAGAATCCTTCGGGCCGTGTAGCCAACGATGGGATATTTGGCTTTGTACACTTTGGTGAAGACATCATCCAGGGATTTCAGCTCCTCAGCCGTGAGGCCCGTCTTGAGGAGAAAAACCCAAGAAACACAGAGGGTGGGGATGAGGGAATCGCGCTTGGCACGGCCTCTCGCCACCCCCACCCTACTCTCCCTACACCCTTGGGGCAAGAGAAGAAATACCTCAACAAGTCCAAATAATGGACAACTGACTTTTTAAGAAACAACCCTGTGGGATAGGGTTGGGTGGGGAGTGATGTAGGGGGAGCAATGGCTTTATCGTGTTTTGCTGTTTAACTGATGTAGGAATTCAAGACTCCAGAAAACACTCAGCCTGGGACGGGACAGGGGTGCACCGATTAATTCCACTGCTCTCTACACTCCTCTCATTATAGATGTATACACCCTCCCCGCTCCTAATTTCTTAATTTGTTTCTGTAATGGTGGGTCTTAAGAGTCTGACTTAGCTGAGCACAGCTGGGGTGAAGGCCAGCCTTGCTGTTGGGATTAGACACTGAGGTGTTTTAGTTCATGCTTTCTGCTCCTTCACAGATGTATGAGCATGGGGGAGACTCGGCTTCTCAACCCTGCGCTTCCGAGAGTAGTCTGGGGAGTGGGTCACAGGGGCTAACAACCGATCAGCAAGAGGCGGGCGTGGCAGGTGCAGACGGTAAGAGGGCCAGGGCTGCCCACGCAGGTTGGAGCCAAACTGTGAATGAAGCTCCCTGAATCTCATCGCAGGTTCACAAGAGTTTGGCCATGACCCTGGGGAGCCATGGAGGGTTTTGGACTAGGAGTGGCACCGTAGGATATCTACTTCAAAAAAAAAGTTGGCAGCCACACCAAGGGGACTGGAATGTAGNGCACAATTTGCTGTAAAGAGCCAGATAGTAAATATTTTTATTTGGAGGAGGCGGGGCATGCAGTCTCTGTTGAAATATTCGCAGCTTCTCGAGCCTGCTGATATGCCAGAAAGCAGCCATAATTATTACAGAAATCAATGGGTGCATGCTGTTCTAGTAAAACTTTATTAAAAAAAAAAAAAAAGGCCATGGCCAAGTGTGTGGAACATTTGACAAAGGCTCATAATCTGGCTCACGGTGTCATGGGTGAGGTCTGCAGGATCCAGGGACATCTTGGCTACCCCTCTGGTGGAATCCTTCCCGGTCAAGGCATTGTAGGGGGCTCCTCGTCCGTAAAACTCTGAAGTGGAGAGGAAGGAACAGGATGTGAGTGTGAACATGCATGCAGAGCAGCCAGGAGCCTGTACGTGGCGGCAGCCAGGGGATAGGGGATGGTGTCTGAGATCCAAGCGAATCCTAAAAAAGGCTCCAGGCCCTAGGAGAGGGAAGGCAGTGAAGATGTGAACTTACATAAGCACCAGCTACAAGTGTGGATTCCACGAATTCAGAATATGGAATGAGTCGCACATGCTGGGCTGAGAAGTGATTTTTAAAAAATAATCTCTTAATAATATTTAAAATCCAAACAAGAAAAATGTTTATACTTCTTAAATGTTGGTAGAAGCTAAGTTTATTTCCATTAGACATCTTTTGTTTGGTATCAGACAAAACAATGAACCATTACAAAACTGCTTCTATCTCATTTGTAGTTACCAGTTGGGAAACCATGAAATGGAATTAAAATGTTCCATAATGTTCTATGATCCCAAATCTTTGTAACACTTTTCCCCTCACTGATTCAACAAGGGTAAATCATCAAATATGAATTTGATTCAATAGGAAACAGGAGCCATGGAAGGCTTTGGAGTAGGAGCATGACATTATTAGGAAACAGCTGTACAACACTGACAAAGATTGTTCACTCCATCTGCGGGAAAAGAACTTGCCCAGAGTTCCCTCCCTTTCCTCACCCCTCCAGTGCCCACTCTGGCTGCTGAGCTCCCCAGAAAGCAGGACTCATAAAGCCAAGCACTTACCCTTCCCAGAAGTGACATCAAACACCACTCCCTTCACCGCCATGTAGATGGGCTGATCTTCCTAGAAAGCAGGAGAGAAGCTGTGAGGAGACGAAGAGCCCGGCTTGTGCAGCTCAAGTTAGTAAAACCTCCCAGGCGGGCTGTGCAGAAAGCGGTGGGAGCCCCAAAGCAGCCTTCCACAAGCCGGTCCTCGAGGGCTCACCCGGCCTGCACAAGGAGCCCACGCGCAGAAACCTGGAAAAGTTAGAAATATCCCAACAAGCCCATGGCTATACCATTGTTTTTTAAAAAGTCAGGAACTGAAGGAAGTCTATGTAGATGAAAATTCAAAAGAATATTAAATGGGGACTTATTTAAATCATTCCAAATTTTCTTTCATCAATGTACGTACCTGGGTGTAATCAGTGTAAGCGATCTATTTTATGTTTTGCTTCTTTTTAAAAATTTTATTGATTTTTTAGAGAGAGGAAGGGAGAGAAAGAAAAAGAGACAGACAGACATCGAATTGTCGCTCCACTTATTCATGCATTCATTGAGTGCTGCTTTTATGTGCCCTGACTGGAGGTCGAACCCGCAACCTTGGTGTATCAGGATGATGCTCTAACTGACTAAGCTACCTGGCCAGGGCCTATTTTGCTTCTTGTAGGTAACATTACTTCATATAAACATCTCCATGTATTGAAATGACCAAAATGGCTGTCACTTAAACAGCTACATTTTGTATTCGTGATACTGTGCACCTGTCTGTTTAGCTGTTCTTCTATTTTGGGTATTTGGATTGTTCTCAATTTCTTAGAACTATAAACAGGAGCATCATTAATATCTTTCTACAAGTTACTTTCTAATTTGGTGAGTTGTTTCCTTGAGGCCTATTTCAATATGTGGAATTCCTGGGCCAAAGTATATGAACATAATCATCTTTTATACTTTACCAGTTTTTCCTTCAAAAAACCATTCACTGTGCTAGAAAAATACAACTAAATGCTATTTTCCCACAGTCCTAAGAAAGTGTAGAATTTAATTTTTGCTGTATTCTTGGATATACAATGTTGCCTCAATTCCCTCCCAAAAGAGAGCCCGGCTTGAGCAGACGGTGTGGATTTCCTAACTTCCACGAAGTTGGGCTTAGGTTGGGGCGACAGGCTGTTCTAGGATGCCCAGGATGTGGTCTTTCCATTGTTTGAGCCCCATCCAGGTACAGACACCAGCCAGGTGAGGGGAGGAGTCACAGTGGGTGTATAAGAATTTCAGAATCTTCAAGTACATGCTGCTTGGCCTTCTCTGGGGTGGGCCTCAGGGTTCTTGCCCTCATGGAGCTTAAGGTCAAGTGCTTTCATGACCACATTTAACAGATAGAGAACCTGGGGCTCAGAGAAGTTAAGCAACTAGGCCAAGGAAGCATATCTCACTGTCACATAACTTTTTAGGCCTCAGTTTCTCTAACTGTTAAATAGGGGTAACACCTACCAACCTTGCAGATGCTGAAGGAAGGTGTGTCTGTGAGCAGAGCAGCACAGCACAGAAGCCCAGTAACGGGTGGTGGTTATTTCCTAATTAGCTCTCACAAAAAGTCCCAGAACTTCTGTTGACTTGATGGACGCTTGCTCTACCTCGTCTTGTTTTACATGGCACTACTTACCCAGCTGGCAGACTGCATTTTCCTTCGGGGTGATTTGCTGCCTTTCCTTCACTTTGATTATCTGTTCCCCGACTTCGATTGCTTATCAAGTGGGATTATGTATTTGTCCAGCGTTACAGAGCCAGTGAGAGGGAGAGCAGATTCTGGAGCCCGGAGCCTCGGAACCCAAGCCTCAGTCCACCTTCTGGGCTGCCTTACCAGAGGACACACAGCACACAGACAGCGCGCTTGTCTGTGACCGGGACATGGGGGGTGTGCCCTGGAAAATTCTTCCGAAAGACCCAGGACCATGAGGAAACACACAGGGAGTGGGTCAGAGGTACCCAATGGAAGGGAGTCAGAGAACCACCTGCAAAACGGAGCAGGTTATCTTTCCTCTGGGTCTTAGGCTTCCCTTCCCATCCGGCTTTCCTCCCTGCCTGTCGTCAAGCAGGGCCACATGTGCGACCATGACAAAGGGATACAAGAGCAGCAGGCAGAGGAAGGAGGGCTTCTTCCACAGCTGGGAGAGAGAGGCCTGGAGCCTGGGTGCAGGCAGGAAGGCGGGGCCCAGCAGCTGGCCCTCAGACTCTGCACCAGGGACCAGGGACAGAGCAGAAGCTCCTCACTGATGACTTTTCTCCTTGGGAAAGAGGAAACCTGCTGTGGATGGTTTCTTTTCTTTTAAATATTTTTATTGATTTCAGATAAAGGAAGGGAGGAGGGGAGAGAGAGAGAGAAACATCAATGATGGGAGTCATTGATCGGCTGCCTCCTGCATGCCCCCTGCTGGGGATCGAGCCCACAACCCAGGCATGTGCCCTGATTGGGAATCGAACAGCAATCTCCTGGTTCATAGGTAGACGCTCAACCACTGAGCCACACTGGCCAGGCATGCTGTGGATGTTTTCTTCCACAAAACTAACTGGCCCTCCGAGGGCCTAAGGCCAGGTTTTGTTTTTGTTTTTTAACTTACGTGGGCATTGGTAACCTATTAGTAGACCATGGAATCAATGTAGTGATTTATCAATAAGTATTTTTTAATGAAATAGAAAAAAAGTTTAAAATAGAACAGAAAATAGAAAACATCAGAGTTCATCACACGTAGAAAGAATAAGCCCTGTTGCATGGAACTGCCGTTTCAGCATCGTGTGTGTCCTGGGGTAGGAGGCCTGGCCAACAGGTCTACAAGCCGCCCTTCTATTGTATAACTGGAGGGGTGGTTCACCTCTTCATTCACCTGCCTCTACCCAACAGCCTTCACTGTATTCTTTGTGGAGGAGGTACAGTCCTACTCTTCTCTACTGTTCCATTTTAGAGGGGCAGAAGCCAGTGTAGTCCCATTCCCCCTCCCGGGCCAGCACAGATTCCAGGAGAGCGGGTGACTGAGCACAAATTCTGGGACAATAGGCTCTGAAGAGGTACCAAGGAGGCCAGATTTTCAGCAGGTATTCCAAGAGGACGCATTTATGTCAGAAGGACAAATATAGCTCCTGCCTGTGAGTGACTCAGGGAGCCACGCTGTGGATCACTCTGAGGACCTAAAAGGCCCCAAAGGAGGAAACTGGGTCAGGGCCCCGTGTGGAAGATCCAGAACCAAGTATGGCTCTATGAAAGGCCCACGCCAGGCCCCCGTCTTTCATGATTTACAATCTGGAAGCTTCCACTGGAGTCGCTATGCAGCTCCCCATGTGGGCGCCCCAGCTCTGACCACAAACCACACAGCAGAAAGCAGGATGGCACAGGTGGGTCTGCCTGCCTTGGCTCATCCAAAAAGGTTATAGTAGAAATAAGACATTCACTGCTAGATGTTTCAGGAAGACTTGTTATTCAGGTCCACGATCCCATAGCAGAAACTCTTGGGGGTCAGCTATGTTTGGGAATTCAGAACTTGTCAGATTTTAGAAAGGTATTATGGGGCACAAACTATGACAGCTACAGAGGGTCCAAGGCAGCACCCCATAATTAACTATATTAGTATTTCCACATAAAGCATGAACACACATATTCACACTAAGTAGGATAAATCAGACTATAAATAGACTTGTGTTGGCTCCAACAAGGCCCCATCACCAAAGGAGTTCAGATGAGGTCAGGTTTTGTTGTCAAATGACTCACTAGAAAAACCTTCTGGTTTTCAGAGCTTATTCAATTTCTGAATTGCGTAAGAGGACTGTGGACCTGTTATACTGCCTCTTGCTTATATCTCTAATAATAAGCTAATAAAAGTAATAGCAGTTAAGATTTATTCAGGCTTACTATGCTAAGACTACACTAGGTCTATGCTAAGCACTTTGCAGATCACCATCTCAATTTATTCTCACAAAAAGCCTATGTAGAGTAGGAATTCTTACTGTAGCCATTATGATGGTCAGTTTTATGTGTCCAGTTATTCAACCAAACACTTATCTAGGTGTTGCTGTGAAGGTATTTTGTAGATGTGATTAACAACAATCAGTTAATTGTACGTAAAGGAGATTGTCGTGGATAATCTGAGTGGGTCTGATGACACTGTTGAAAGGCCTTAAGAATAGACTTGAGCCTGGCTGGGCGTTGCTCAACGGTTGAGCATTGACCTAGGATCCAGGAGATTACAGTTCGATTCCCGGTCAGGGCACACGCGCGGGTTGCGGGCTTGATCCCCAGTTGAGGGCCTGCAGGAGGCAGCCGATCACTGACTCTCTCATCATTGATGTTTCTCTCTCTCTCTCTCTCTCCCTTCCTCTCTCTGAAATCAATAAAGATACATTTTAAAAAGAAAAGAACAACAACAAAAAGGAACAGACTTGAGGTTTTTCTAAGGAAGAAGAAATTCCACCAGTGGACTGCAGCATCAGCTCCAGCTCAAGGTTTCGGGCCTGCGCTTCCCACAGCCTGCCCTACAGATTTTAGACTTGCTCAGCCAGCTCCCATGATCACATAAACCAATTTCAACTGCCCCCTCCCTCCTTTCCTCTCTCCCTCCCTCTGTCTACAGACATCCAATGGGCCCCATACCCAAAATATTCTTTCCTTACCCTGTTTCAATCTCAAGCTTCCCTCTCTCCTTCCCTCAGTTAAGTATCAATTACATCAGCTTAAAAAACCAAAGATCTTTTCTCAGCCCCCATCCTGCAGCCCTTAGGTTCTGTGCTGGGGGCCCCCAAGATCACCCCTTTGACTGGAGATTCACTAGAAGAACTCAGACGTCAGCATAAGTTTGTAATCAGATAGGACTGATTACAGTGATGTAAGGGTACACAGCCTAGTGTAAGGACAAAGGACACAGGCGATCTCAAGTAGCAGTTTTCAGCCTGTTTCATCTCGTGGCACATCAACTAGTAACTAAACTTATGTGGGACACCAAAAAATACATATTTTTGCCAACCTGACAATAAAAATAGGTATAATTCGGATTCATTCACACCAGACAGTTATTGCTATGTTGTCTGTTGTCATTTTTTTATTTGGCAGCCTACGGGAAAAGAGGTCAGTGCTCCTGACTAAACAGTCAGATACTGCATGTTTTAAAAATGCCTATAGCACACCAGTGTGCCTCTTGCGACAACACGGGTTGAAAATCACTGGTCTAGAAGGACCTGTGTGCAGACTTCCTTATGCCTTCTCCCCCCTGGAAGGGTCACACAGAGCACACTCTCCCCCAGCAAAAAATGCAGCAACACATGTGCCACGTTTCTGCCCAGGGAAGCCCGTTAGAGACTCGAGCCCAAGGTTCTTACTGTGCCTTGGCCATGCAGGCGCTCTGCCTGTCAGTGTTCATCATAAACACACTGTTCATAAAGAGCCCAGACTGAGCCACCCTTATCCTCTAGGTAAGTGTGGAACACCTGGAAATCCAGACACCACCCAAGAGC